TCATTTCTGTGTCCAACTGTAATTTTAAGATATGTTGGGTGAGCTCATTGTGAAACCTGGCCCCACCCTATCATGTGTTTTCCTGAGGTCAGATGGCCCAGGATGTGAGTGGGCGTTAAGGTGTCTGGGAAGGGATCTCAAAACTGGATTATAGATGGCAAACAAAATTATGTAAACAAAACGTAAATAATCCCTCAGGTGGGTTCCTCCAGGGTTCTCAGCTGAATAAACGTCAAACAGAAAACTGATTAAACAGAAGTGTGAGATGATTGAGAATTTACGCCAGTGTCCTGTTATATTTTAGATAGTAAGGAGCAGACGGCAGAGTTTATTAAACTCCACCGAGACAGCGGTGATGCAAATCTGAAGGCTAGACCGTCCCATTTCATAGCCTCACACTTCCGCCCTTCTCAGTCTTCGAAGACATGTGGGCCCAGTCCTAAGTTTTGGGACACAGCTATTGTGTGCTGCGTTCAAACTGTGGCATGCGCAAGTCCTCCTTAGATTCTTTATCAGCACCATGCTGCAAACTTGTGGCCATACTCTATAGAGTATTCTGGAGAAGGTATAAAATGTCACTGTATATATGTGTGTTTGTATTTTTATGTGTATAGATTTTTAAAAAAATGATTACTCATGATATAACATTGTCCAGCCATGCCTCGTAAGGACAGGAGGAAACCGTGTGAGGCTAAAGGTCGCGGACCCCTCAGCAGCTGGCTTAAAGAGAAGAGCACAGGTAATAATATCACATATACCAGTTGTTGCATTGCAGTTAAGCATAAAAACAATAATAAACACAATGATTTGTTTCTATAACATTTTTCTATCATTACTTTATTATGGATTAGGTGCTAGAGTTTTTAAGTGGTTTTTAAGTGTGGATAATAAAATAATAGATTAATGCAATAGTAAATTGTGCCTTGTTCTCAGATGGACAGCAAGTGGAGAGATAGATGAGATGAGGAGACAGAAGGAGGAAGAGAGACAAAGAGTGTCACCAATCTTTGCATTTTATTATTATCTCATAACACCTGTTTAATCAGCTACCATCTCTCCTGTGGACTTTTTAATGTCTACAGTCTCAGATCAGCACAGCCCTGCCCTCCAGCACCACCAGCAGCAGCGGCAGCAGAAACCCCTCAACAGCAACATTGTACCCCATCAGGTAAAATATAGGCTACATTTCTCCAAAAGTTGATTCTGTTCATCTGAAAGATTTACTTTCCTGGATGATTGAGAATGCATCAAGATAGGCTACATTTGCTTTGCATTGTCCCCACCTAATCACAGTGATATAGTATGATTTGATTCCATATTAGATTCCTGATGAGTGTGGGTTGTTGTTCTTCAGCCTGGTTCTATGTGCCCTTTTTAACTTTGAGCACCGCCCCTTTAAACATCTCTGCACAGCCCTTGTCTGGTATAACAAGAACACCTACTATGACCTCAGTTATAGCTTAGCACTTAGCAAATCTCTTTTTTAGAAAATGTCTATTCTAGTTTTGTCATTAAACACCTACAGATGGCTGTTAAACTCCTGGCATCCAAAACTCAGGGAGAAGATTCAAATTTTCCAGAAACTGCACAAAATCTGGCCCTTGAGATTGCGATTTGACCGTTTAATTTCAGGTTAATATGCTGTTATTTTAAGAATCAATTTACTTTAATGTTGGGTTAATTAGTGATTCTAAATGTGCTGTAGTTGTGAATTTTCACAAACGAATTAGAATCTGAATACATTATTAATCCAAGAAGAAATCATGTGGTTGTATTAACTAAATTCAGCACCGTATTTTTCGGACATTAAGGCACACAGTCGATGAATGGGTCTGTTTTCATACATAAGGCATACTGGATTATAAGGCGCATTACAGGTTCGAGACAAAACAATCAGATAAGTCAAACTTTACTATTTATTGGGGCAATCGTGGCTCAAGAGTTGGGAGTTCGCCTAGTAATCGGAAAGTTGCCGGTTCGAGCCCCGGCTCATACAGTCTTGGTCGTTGTGTCCTTGGGCATGACACTTCACCTACC